TTCTTTTTTCGACATGAAAGAGCTCCTTCACGTTCCTTAAGGCACCACAATGAACCAGCATTACGTTCTATACGTTCTGAAACGGTGAGAAAAAAATCGACCCATAGAGAGGTGAGCGGGGGCTGGTTGCTTCATTATGACAATGTGCCTGCCCGCAAGGCGTCCAAAATCAACTAACTTTTGGCAAAAAAAGCCATGACTCGCCCAACGTAATCCTCTCCCCCTTGTGACTTCCCAATAATAGAGGAAAACCTAGAGGGGAGAGGCGTTTTCAGCATGTAAAGGGAGTTAAGAAAATAAATTACCGGAGACCTCTAGCAGCATTAGTTCAGAAGAATATAAAATGTCTCAAACGGCGGGAAAACCCATTGATACAAAGAAATACAATCTAATGGACAGTATTTTGTTTAAAGGGATTACAGAGTTTTTTTTTAGCTCGAATAAAACGAAGTTAAATAAATAATTCGACATTTTTTGGTACCCCCTCGTATGGCTAGTCAAAGTTTGTCAAAAGGCGAATCTCAACACAGACAGCAAGCGAAAGCACAAACCATGCATGCAGCGGTACTGAACTAAATTTTCGTCGAAAATATTTTAATCAGGGAGTCGACGTCTGCACCTAGCTCCTGACTGCTTTCAGCTGCGATGCCAGTAAGAACATAAGAACAGCTAGGCAGTTTTGGCAAAACTATGTTGTAGGGCCCCTTAAATATGTTTTCCCCCCGCATAACTGTCTAACGTATTTTGTGGTCAGACATTTAATTCTTGGTTAGTGAGTGTAAAAGAATATTCTATTGTGGTAAAAGTGATCAAAAAATATTAAATTAAAGAAACTTATATTTGTTTCAATGTATTAAGTTGAATCAAATTCATCAACATAAACTCCTGTTGCTCAGGATACTGGTGCCATTTAAGGGAAATTCAGCCTTATCTTGGCGGAATTTGTCGAAAAAGAAGTGCAACGAATTGCCCAATCCGTATTCGGTGCTGAGACTCAATTTGGCCAAAGCAAGTCGCCACTTGGGGTACG